GGCATTCCTTAACTCGGGTGATTCTTTTCTTCTTTCTTGGGGGCTGAAGCTCGGGGCAATTGAGTGTAACAGTCATGGTGGTGAATTTCTTGGGCTTGCAGAAAGAACAAGATTGGAAAGAGCCTTCCTCTTTACGGACATGCCTGGGGATGTAGAAGGAATTGCACTGGCCGTAGCAGAACCTGTTGATAATGGTACGACTGTTGCAGCCTTCTTCGTGGATAGTTTGTTTGAGGGGTTGAGTTTTACACCAATCCCGCTTTAGGTATTTGCGCTCAGTGATGTGCAGTGCCTCCTGACTAGACTCCAGCACCTCCTCAGCAGGCATCGAGGTGCCTTTTCCTCGTTCTCGATGCCTAGAGCCTGACTGCTGCTGTGTCTGTATTTGCTCTGAATCATTGGGCTGATCTTTGTCAGGAGGAGGGATAGCACCTTGAGATCCACGATTCCTCTTTCTCCCTTCTGCTGCTGGTAGCAGAAATCCCATCAGAAGAAACACAGCGCCAACGGCATACAGTGTGCGGACCATCCTATATGGAGGAAGTTAAAGGAATAAAGCACAGTTGTGGATTTCAGATATCAACAGAAGTCACACACGCAGTAAATTTTCAGTTCCATAAAAGAAATGTGTGTGTGTGCACACTTACAAAAGATAAGCATTTAGCCTTTACTGGCTGGAAAGCTGTTTCCAAATTACCAAGTGATGAAAGTTTTAATGTACAGTAATTGAAAGTCAAAAGCTGAAGTCAGTCCTAACAGTTTCACTTTGTGTAGCATGCATCTTTTTCCAGTTCTTTTCTCCATGTATTATATTAATTCCCTTACTATTAATGAAGAGATCTCATTCCCTTCTTATAGCTCACAGACATTAGAAATGTTGCTCCTGACTTACACTGGTGGAAGAACAGGTTTCATACTGCACAAGGAGATATGACATAGCTATATTGTCTGAATTACTGCATCATGAGCTCTGTCACACTGCAGCTCTGAACTGCCTCGATGCATCTGAGTGTAATGATGCCTAAGGTAAGAGATTCATAACAAGGTGATAGGCAACTAACACAAAAGAACAGTTAGGTATAGCTTAATCAGAGATGCATCTGTAATGTCAAATTATACTTTCTCATGCATTACCCTGAATCCTTGACAAAAATTACACAGATGCAGTCACAGTGTCAAGAATTTTTCAGATCTCTGAATTGTATTTATTCTACGCAGCATGATATTGAAAGGACATATGAGGACAGCAGTTTTCTATATGACATTAAGCATCATGAAGTATCAGTATCAGAAAAGGATGTAGTCTGTGCACACACACACATAAAAAAACTCTTCAAGAAGCACAGTAAGTGGAGTTTATCATATTCTTCAAAAAGGCGTCTCTGCTCCAAACATAGCGACTAGAGTAGGAACAGCTTTCTTGCCTCCCTTATTCCACCATTTCTGCTGCTTCCCGAAGCTCTGAACTCTTTTGGCTGCACAGTCAGCTCAAGACACCAATCAGCCAGGAAGAAACACACTTTCCCCCCTCCCCCCCCAACCTTCCAGAAGTACCATGGTCTCCATGTTGTTCTGGAAAGCAAAGGATGTGGCAGCAAAAGAGACACATTGGGGAATGAGGCTCTCAGGGGACCTTCCTTGTGGGGAGCTTGGAGGAAACCACCAGAAATGAGCAACTGCTCACAAAAACCCCATACACCAGCAGAACTGAGAAGAGGCGCATGCATTAAGTAAGGGAAGAATGATTTGAAAAACCTGGGGTCGTTGGTGTCCTCTACCTGCTTGGAGCGCTGCAGTTGTGTCCCTTATTAGACTCGTTTTAACAGTAAGGGGCAAATTACTGTTCGAGAGTCCTGCTTGTGTTACTATCCCAGCACCGTATGTGAAACCAAGGGCACCGTCCTGGACGGCTCCACACGCTCTGCCTCAGACCACACATCTAGGCAGGAAAGCAGCCAAATGCCAGCGCTGTAAGGGCCACCTAGAGACTCAGTAGAGGCTCAGGGTAAGTACCATTGGCTATAAAAGGTAACTGTTAATTTCTTAGTTACTAAGTCTTTCCAGTCACACAGAGAAAATAAACGTTACGTTGTGCTGTTCAAACAGCGTTTCTCACCGAATGGACTGGGAAAAGAACTACTGGGCTGGAAAAGTATCATAGGCGGGGTCCATTGTGTTCAGGGATTTGCTTGTGAATCTAATATTTTAAGTGTTTTTCTGCAGATTGTTAAAGCACCTAGAGTTTATAATACAGATGATAAATATATGCATTCATTTTATTTGTTTATGTTGACGTACCCGTATGTCCTATGTTTGGCAGAAGCTTCAGGCTTCAAGCGAGACACGTAAGAATGACACTATTGCTGACTCCAGCAGACAACTTGAAAGGGCTGCTTTTAATATCTAAGTGAAATATGGTAGAGAACATGCAACTTTAATAACCTTATGGCTCTGACAGAGAACACAAAAAAAGCTGGGAATTCTAATTGAAGACTAATGCAGCATAAGTTCAAGTGTCAGCTTGGGCTTCACATTTGCTACTTTTTCCCTGTTTCTGTTACAACCTGAATGTTATTTGAACATGTTTCTTTTCAAACTTAATTTTGTCTTTAAAATAATTTTTTTGAAAAGAGTTATAAGCCATTCCTTATTTCCACAAGAGACCAGAATGACTCCCTCCAGAACAATTCCTATTTCTCCAGCAACTGTATACCCATGGCTGTATTTAGACAGTATTTTAATATGCACTTTATTTAATCGACATGGTGCCAGAGCCTCAAAAGGAAAAGAAAAATAAAAAAGTCGTTGCACGCAACTGAAAAGAAATTGCTAGTTTATAAGCAGTGCCAGGAAACTTCAGGTGTTTGTTCAGTGTCTCGTAACTGAGCTGAAGTTCCACCAAAGTGCACATTCCTGGCCTATTTTTATTTCTAAAACTGATGACCTCCACATTGCTTCATCTTTTTTCTTTTTTTTTTTTCATAAATGTGCAATTGATGACAGAGCAAAGTCTGGTCATGTGAAAAATAGGTGTACTTGGGGGTGGGAATCTGGGGGAAATTTGATGGTAATATTTACTATTGCAAGGTCTGTATCCCACATTCACACATCTTTATTCAGCATGTGCTTAACCCTAAGGAAATGCAAGCATGTATTTCGACATAGTCCTAAACTAATTTTTCACTAATTTTTCACTGAGGTGGTTTATAGCCTTAAAGGCAGCAGCTATATTACATGCTCATAAAATAAACTGTGATTCAAATGAAAATTAGCAACTCAGCAAAACCATTTGTTACGGTCATTTCCAAAACACACATCTAAAAGTAAAAGTAATCCAGTCATTTAGGGCTAAACACAGCTTAAACATAGACCCACAAAAGAGGCTGTTTGAACTTCGTGACCCCCACTGCAGCTCAAGCAGGATCTTATTTTACTAGTAACTTAATAAAAAATTAAGATTACTTCTTAAAAAAGATCTAAAAATACAGATGAAAACGAGGCGGCATGCCTCAGTAAGGAAAGCAGCCAAAATGCAGTGTGAGCGTCCTGCAGCACCTCAGTTCCCTAGGCCGTGCCTTTGCTTATGAGAGAAGACGACACCTCTGTTTGCTTACGTTAGGAACTAGAGTGGTTCATTCTTCTATGAATTACTGTTTGTGAATGTTTCCTTAGCAGGTTTTGGGGGTTTTTTTTAATTACTGGGAGGAAAAAAAAAAAATAGAACACGTAAGAGTAGAAGTAGCTAAATCAGTGTTACCATACCCAAAATTTAACCAAAAAGAAACCTCTCCTGAAGTAAATGGGTTTTTTTTCATTGTCACAGCCATAACAATGCAGGAGTAGTAACTCTGGAGCTTGGGTAGGAGCTGTGTTGGAATCAGGCTGTAAAATCTTACATTCAAAATTTTCAGGACTTGATACTGGCTGTTACAATGGCATAAAGAGAAATCCTTTTGACAATCCATCTGAGAAACCTTTGAACAAACAAATGACTAAAACCAAAATGATCAATTCCCACCTATTTCATTCAGACCCAGAGAGATCTGATAAAATTAATATTTCTTTTTTAAAGGTACTTCCAAAAACCTACTCTTCCATATTTCACTGCTGAGTTCTACTTTTCATCATCTGTAAGCTCTTAGTCCTAAAGCCAAGATAAATTTTATTGCTGACTTCAAACAGGAGCAGAATTGGGCCCTAACATTCATCTCACCTCATATGTGGTTTATCTAGAGCCTCGGATCTCATCATCTAAAACAGATTAGGAATTTTTGTGGATTAATACTAGCAACCGCTCATAGAGAAGTGTAAACGCTTTCAGGTTTATTATTTCACACCATGAAGCAGTAATTTTTTCGTTTATACATTTTCTGCTATAAATTAAAGAACTCCACATGCCAGTTCATAAACAGCACTTCCCTGTGAGCTCCCAGGCAGAGTCAGAAAGTTATTACTGAAATATTTAGCATAAAGCAACTTGTTTAAAAGAATTGGAGGGAATCCGGGTTCTGTTGAAATATACAGTAAAATTCTCACAGTTCTCCCATAATTTCATCTGTGAACCATATTTACTAGGAAAATATTACAATGAGCCATGGACTCATGTGCTTCACAGAAAAAACAAAAAATAATCTGATGAAGACCTAAAAAAAATAAATGTATTTGTTGGGCTTCGAATACCAGCCAAAGAAAGAGGCAAAACACAACCCTTTGACTACTGAGAAAATTGAAGTGGTTTGTGTCCCAAAGGATCAGAATAATTTTATGCCTGGCTTATTATATATGAATCACAGAAATAGTCTTATGTAATGTTTTCATAGTTCATAGATGGGTATTTTTAAATATAAAGAAAGGCATGGCAATGGCAGTTCCCTGAGAACCATCTCTTTTTTTTCTTTTTTTCTCTGAAATTAAGACAGCAAAACTAACATCTCTGGTTGGAAGAATTTGGATACATACACTTTTCAGATAATTTCTTCTTGCGAGTGATGAAGATGGCTTTTTTTCTTTTTGAGACACGTAACGAGCGTAGGCAGCAATGCAAAAAAGAAAAAAACCCAACTCTGAAACTTGGGGAATTCCCCCTTCAAGAAAGCGTCGCTCCGTCAGAAAGACATCCTACGGGACTCGCGGGAAGTTGAACATCATGGTGGGCATGGCTGGTACCAAACCCGAATCGGGCCTGGCCTGAGGACGCCCCTGCAGCCTGTTAGCCCGCTCCCCAGAGAGAATCTCCTCCTACGCAGATTTGCTCACAGAGACCCCCGAACCCCAAACCAGCTTTGCTGCTGCGCGTGGCCATGCGTACTGGAAAGGAGAAAGTCCTCAGGAGAAGCTACGCTTTTCTGAGTGACACCGGCGAGGGAAAAACGGATGCTTTAGCACAGCTTGGGACTGAATCCTGAAGAAGAGCGGGAAGCCACGGGCACCGGCGCCCTTCACCTCCCGCAGCGTCTGCGCCGCACGCCGGTGGGCGCTCGCTCCCGGGGCTTTTCGGGGCAGTGAGGAGCCGC